TCATTCATTCATAAGGATTATCCTAAGGAATAGGCACAAAATCCATTGTTGCTAGGGTTTACTCAATAGGAACTAAATCCATAGTTGCCAGGGTTTAGTCAACAAGCACTAAATCCATAATTGCCAATGTTTGCTCATCAGGCACTAAAGCCATAGCTGCCAGGGTTATCTCGTTTATCGACAGTATCGTTTCCGAGAATCCACTCGTAATACATGTCAATGGGTTTTTATCTCGTTTATCGACAGTATCGTTTTCGAGAATCCATTCGCAATACATGTCAATGGGTTTTTAGAGTACAACAGGTGAATACACAGTTTCAATATCACCTACAGGTTGCGAGCCTGCTAATGTTCCACTGGACTGTCTAGAATATTTTGTGGTTTTCATCCATACTCTGCTAGATGACAGGGCCAACACTTGGGTAAAAGGGTTCTCTCATGGTTCACCTCTCACCCTTATCTCATGGTTTATATCACCTCTCATCATTTTACTTTTGTCACACAACAACTATTTCATCTACCCATGTTTTACCCAACACATTTTGTAGATATAAAATACATATACAGTTTAAATCATTTAAAACATGTATAAAAATCTTTCACCCAGCATAGACGACAAGTATACAGACAATATGCACACATAGCATGTAATTTATATTAAATAATTCATATCTATGTGTAAGATGAAACTAAATATGCACTCACTTTTTAAAGTAATAATTCAAAACTCGGACAACACTTCGCTTCTAACGATTTGATTTTCCTTCAACGAAACCTAGCATTATTATCACTAAGTTTTAGTCTAATCTTTATTACGACTAATTATTAGTCTGGATTCATCATTAATTCAAAGTCTACTTCATGATCTATTAAGCAAGGAACAACCAGGTAGGATCATAACGGAGGTAGGGTCCGTTTGGTATACGAAGTATACTGTTTGTAAATCTTACTTTAAACACCTCACAAAATCATAGCCTAGAAATCATCCCCGTAAGTAGATCAATTTATATAACGACTTGGAATCACTGATAAATCTTCTTTATAGGTTCATAATAGCGATAATTAACTTAAACATAAGTTATACTTAAAGTAGGGTAAGCATAACTTACCTATGAGGGGGTTTGGCTAGGAGTCGGGCTCTACATGGGCAGAACTTCTGAACCGAAAGCTCTGCTTATCGGATCCTTATGCCGCTCTGGGACTCACCTCTAACACCTAGAAGGTGTTAGGGAAGGGGGAAGAGGGTTTGGGGTGTTTGGGAGTAAAGAAGTGGAGAGGTGTGAAGAATATTGGAGATTTGTGCCTCTATTTATAGGATGAGTTCGATGCGAACGCAGCGCGTTGCCTAGACCAACACAGCACGCTCGTTGCCACGTGTTGCCATCTCGTTCCAAGCTGTGGGGAAGAAGGTGTGGCCCAGATTGCGCCATCTGTCGCACACAGATTACCCCATAAACTAATTATCTTCTAAAATTCGTAACTTTCGCATACAAGCTACGTTTTTTACGTTATTTATATACACACATAGGCAAAAATAAGATCTACAACTTTCATTTTGACTCCGCCGGCTAATTATCGACCAATGTTAAATTTAAGAGTATGAGGAGATTATATTGTTAAATGTCCGCGTAAAATTCATAACTTCTGCATATGGACTCCGTTTTCATCTGTCTTTTTATCGTTGAGTTCCTATTAACGAGATATGCAACTCTTATTTAGGTCGTGTAGGCCAAAAACCGCTCGAACCAAAATTCGAGTTTCAGGTCATTCACTTCTATGTCAAATTTTAGAAAATTCATAACTTACTCATGCAAAATCAGATTTGGGCGTTATTTTTTTTGTATGTTCTCGGTTTAACGTATACTACAATTTTTGTTTAGATCACTAAGACTAAAAAGTCATCTATCATAAATTCACTATTTATGTCTTCCGATGCCGTGCCGGTTTTGATGTAAAACTTCGACGGGCCATAACTTCTTCGTTATAACTCAGATTCCGACATTCTTTATATGTACGGATTCTTTGTGACATATAGTATAACTTGGTTAAAAATATATATTCTAAATAACTTCTATCAAAAAGTCATTTTTGACGTTTATCGTCTTTAAATTTACTAACCCGGATCTGCGGGTGTTACAACCATGTTGCGGGAGCTCGAACTGCCCAATCTGCCGCCCAAGTCGAATAGTGATTCGAAGATATCAAATGGGTTATTGAAATTTTCATTGGATTGGATTAATTTAGGAAATTTTTAGAAGTGAACGACTGTGATATGAGAAGTTTGTTGATTTTTATGATATTTTTAGTGGATTGAACTTACTCCGTTACCCATGTTGTCGGTACATTTGAGTACGACCTCACTATACCGGCATCATCTATCACCGTCTCATAAAATATGTATTGAGAATAAGGGGAATTTTTTCATTTACTATTAATGTGAAATTAAAAAAAAAAAAATGATGAATTTTATTATTTTTGGGACAAACTCCGAATAAATTTTTAACCATAGGAGTCATTCATGTAATTAGAACAACCGGTTAACAGATAAAAGATTAAAACGGTCTATTGCGTTTAAAAAAAGAAAGAAAGAAAGTAGTTAAATGATACCAAATCCAAAACTTCATCGTGGTGTAGTGTCATTATCCCTTAAAAAAACTGACTTGATTAAAAAAAGATCTTTCTGCAATATGGTAATGTGTTTTTCAAAACATTGAAAACTTTAGTAAACATAGACATGCAAACAATAAATTGGCTTTAATTGGTATGCAAAGTCTGACTGAAATAACATAAATTTTACTCACTAAATATGATGTTTTTGTCTTTTCATTAAAATCTTATCTTGAATCTGGCAACACGAGGGGTTGAGGTTTTTCGTCAATGCCATTGATTTCCTAACGTTGATTCTGAAACGATAGAAAGAAAACGAATTCAAATACAACACATCTTGTGCTTGTAGTTTATTGGCATAATACGTGTTTGTTTATGTTTTCTGCAAGTATACGCGTCTCTTGTGCGTGCACTTGTGTTTGTCTCCTTGTTTAGGTATTGAATAATTTCGTTGTCGTTCCTATATTATAGCTGAATAGCATACTAAACCCCCAAGATTATGGGAACTCATAAAAAGACCCTCGTAAGTCATAAGTCACAATTTCGTCATATTTTTGCAGTGCGAACTTGAGTATGAAAATATCCGTTTTAACCTTTTGCGAATCAAAAAGAAATATAATATTATAAGAGGCGATTTTCACGTGTTATATTTTTTTATTTTATAATATGCATCGTCCATAGACATATGTCAAGCACGTGAATTTGTACATTTTTATTTGCCCTACATCATTATGTGATTTGACTTTAGATAGTGAATACAACAAAAGATCGGACATTATTTTCTTGTTGTATAATTTAGTTGAATAATGAATCTACTCGTCATATGTTTATATGTTTATTTGTTTCTAAAATACGAGATATTTTTATTTTTCAGCCACTGAAAAATATTGAAATTTTGGATGGATAACAAAAATGTTCTATTAATTTATTATTAAAGATCATATGTCATTTTTTTTGTTGGATGGTATTAATTGTTGGCTGCGTCGTCTCTTTGGACCTCTAATTAATTGTTAAATCATATGTACACCGGAGAGAGAGGTGGCTGCGTGACACATATTTTGAATCATGACTCATGAGACTCTTTCTTTGTCATGTTCTTCTTGGTTGGATTGCAAATCAGATGCAATTAATATGCAATATAACAATATAAGTTATTTTATACAAATTTAATATTGAAATCCCCTCATCTCATCGGATGAATTCCTCCTTTTGCTTCTCAACCTACAAGGTTTTAGCAGTCGTTTACAACCTCTGTACCCCTCGCAAGGGCAGGTGCTTACGTGTTTCTCATAGTAGCGGAGGCAGTATATCACAAGTGGGGTGCATGACCCCACTTGATGGTGGCCCCATCTTAATTTTTAATAGAAAAATATATATAATTACATAGACATCTACTTAAAAACCTTGAACACCATTGTTTTTGCTTAAAAAACCTTAACAAGACCTTAAATTTCAGATTTTTTTTTTCTTATTTTTAATATTTTTATCATTATGAAACCCGGTTAATGTTTGCTTTGGATCCGCAACTGGTTGCTCACCCGTCCACCACTGAAAACACTACTTCAAGTGATAAACAAATTAGTTTGAAGAAATAAATTATGAACAGTTTTGCAATAGGTCATATTGCGAGGTTGTGCTTGTTTTTCATAGATAATGATGGTCAGGTATGAAACAAAACAACAAAAGTTCATATGAATAGTAACTAACACTATTGTTCATGTTTATAAAAATTAAAAGGCATATGATAGTCAATTATAGCTGGGAACCACATAAAACAAATGTTAATGGCTTTCTAATGGCTCGAAATGTGAAATTATTCATGAACAGTTTCGCAATGAACTTACATGTGACACTTGTTCATGTGAGCAAAAGTATTTTAGAAACTATAGAAAGTTCATATCAATAGTAAAAATCATTAAAATACTATATTAAAATTTCAATGGCATTTACATGATTTTTCATAAATAATAATTAAAATCACAGAATACAACATGGAATGTGGAAACTAAACATTTTCACATAGCCGAAATATATTGCAAAAGTGCGATATCATAGGAAAAAGCCTGTCAAATAAATAATAGCATGCTAGAAACATGGAAATATAGATAGTTCCAAGATCCTTGTTTAGCCACAAAACTTGAAACCATTTTGAAGTGTGGTTACGAAGAGATTTTGAAATCTATTTTTATGTTAAAATAATAATGTATTATAGAAAAACAGATTAAATAGGAGACAATTTTTTAAAAGTTATCAATTTTGTGATGACCCAACTCTAAATAATTATATCATTTCTTCACTATAACTGTTGTAATACTTGGAGGGAGTATTTTTGGAAGTTTGTTAAAAGTTAAAGGGCATCAACGAAAAATATTCATCACAGTTGACTCCAACCAGTGTAAGATATGTCCCACGCGCGTCTAGAACGAAGTCGGTGAACCACACCCTACCTCTTCTTCCATGTTACAAATTCCAATGCCTGTGTCTATTCTATATATACATACATGCCACTCAGTTCTCTCTTCATGTAAAAGTTCTGTTTTGAGCGAAATTTAGACACTTACATACTCCAAATATAGCAATATATACATACAAATATATATATAGAGAGAGTGAGAGAAGGAAATGGAGACGAAGATGGAAGCCATGGAGAAGGGAGATGAGAAAGTGGAAGAAATCAAAGAGCTCAACTACAGAGGAGTTAGAGCCATGCCTTATGTTATAGGTATATACATACTTATACAGTTATACTACGTACATAGCGAATATATACACTTAACTATAACAAATTTCGTGAAAATAGATGGAGATATATTTCGGTTAAACTTGTTTAATTAAGTGCTAGTAGTAGGAGTAAAATATTGTGTTGAACATATAAGTTTCAGGTTGCCAGCTGATCATATGCATCGTGCAAATGACTGTTTAGCTATCTTATCTTGTTTTAGTGGACGAGTTTGTGTTGTCACAGACAAGCAACTATATTTTCGGTTTACATACATAATTAGATCTACGTTCGTACTTTTTTTTTATGGTTTTATATTTTAAAATGCATCTAGATTTAGAAATTTTCAGTATAATTTACCTAAATCTCACTTGCCTATTATCATAAATGGGTTTTTTTATCGATTTTTTTCTTTAAATAATATTGTTTATTAATTATTGTAAACTTTACGAAGAAAGTGCTCTACAAGATAAGGCACTTCAACAAAAAGAAAATAATGGATAAAGGCCATATCAATATATTTACCAGTTTTAAAATATCAACATATCATCATTTTTTTTTTTTAAAATATATAAGTAGAAAATATAAATAGCAAGTTTAAACCTATTAAGTTTAAACCTATTAACTTATTAATCTTTATTTAGTATGTTTTTATTTAAACCTATTAAGTTATTAATTTTTATTTAGTAGGTTTTTAATATTGTATGTACAAAATCATTTTTTTTTAAATATATAAGTAGAAAATATAAATAGCAAGTTTACTATATATTGAACGATAACTTGTTTAAAGCTATACACAAATTTTATTTTCATTAACTGGATTATACATAAAATACAATAAACACATAACCAATTTTTTATTTTGAAAAAAAAGTGTAAATAAGATCTATTACTATTTTATGAAAAAAATAAAATAAAATTGGTTATTGTTCTAAACATTTTTTTCCTCCGAAAGAACTATATGTTTTTTGTTATCATATCATATCATATCAATCAAGTTATTCATCTATTTTTGTGTGTTACAATTTCATATAATTTGCAGGAAATGAGACATTTGAGAAGCTAGGAACCATCGGGACATCGACAAATCTACTCGTATATCTAACGACAATATTTAATATGAAGTCGATAACAGCTACTAATCTCATCTACGTATTTAATGGTACTTGCAACTTTGGTACGCTTATTGGAGCTTTTCTATCCGACACTTATTTCGGTCGATACAAGGTCTTGGGGTTTGCATCCGTATCATCTTTCACGGTACATATATATCTTCATCTAAATTGTACTTATAATTTTCTTAAACATAAGAAGATAGTATGAAAACAATTTATAACCGATTTAAATATAACTGTTTATCAAGTTTATAGTCTCACAAAATAATTGTTAAAATAATCAAATTGATGTCGATATCAATGATTAACAAACATTATAATAATATTCTAATCAATCACTTTTATTTATTATTAATATCAACAAATTTTAAATTTTAAAAGTATAATATGCACCTTAAAATTAAAATACAGAAGTAGTCTATATAATATAAAAGAAATGTATGTATACATTTGTTAATTTCTGAAAACAATATTTAAAAATTAATAATTTTAGCATTTTTATCAAATATTTTTAATTGGTAGAAATGTGATGTGTCAAAATTAAGAAAGTTTTATAAAAAGAGAATCATCTCATAACTCCTTTCCAATAAGCTTATAGTGTTTGGCTTTTTAATATTGATACAAAAATATATTTCATAAAGTACAAATCGACTAAAATTATGGTTTATCATCTCTTAATTAATTGTTCTTTAAATTACAATATAGTTAATTAATATATTTTTATCTTTTATTTAAAGTTCAAAGTCAGAAATTTACTAACTTTAACTATCTTAACCCAGGGAATGCTTGTGCTGACGTTAACCGCAGCAGTCACAAAGCTTCATCCTCCTCATTGTGTCGAAGCTCCATGCGTCGGAGCAACGCCCTGGCAAATGGCTTTCTTGTTGACCGGTTTCTTGTTTCTGATCATCGGAGCAAGCGGAATCCGGCCATGTAACTTAGCCTTCGGCGCCGACCAATTCAATCCGAACACAGAATCCGGCCAACGGGGAATCGCAAGTTTCTTCAACTGGTACTACTTCACCTTCACGTTCGCCATGATGGTATCATTGACAGTTATCGTCTACATTCAAGCAGATATTAACTGGGCAATCGGATTAGCCATTCCAACGTTCCTTATGTTCTTGTCATGCGCTGTGTTTTTTATCGGCACGAATATATACGTCAAAGTGTTGCCGGACGGCAGCCCTTTAACAAGCATATGTCAAGTCCTCGTCGCCACCGTGAAGAAGCGGGATCTAGCGTTTCCCGATGAACCTGCAACCTCACTCTTCAATCACATTTCTTCCAAATCCATCAACTCAAAACTTCCTTACAGCAAACAACTCAGGTTTCTAAATAAAGCAGCGATCATTACTTCGGAAGATATAGTTAACTCCGATGGGTCTTCTGGAAACCGGTGGACGCTTTGTAGTATACAACAAATAGAAGAAGTGAAATGTGTGATTAAAACTATTCCGATTTGGGTATCTTGCATAATCTACAATGTTTCAATTAACCAAATGCAAACGTACACAGTCTTTCAAGCCTTACAATCCGATCGGCGACTCAGGCCAAGTTCATTTCAAGTTCCGGCGGCGTCATACACCGTCTTCCAAATGCTTGCTCTCACAATATGGATCCCAATCTACGACCAAATAGTAGTTCCATGTCTCCGGAGAATAACACACAAACGACAAGGGATTTCTCTTCTCCAAAGAATAGGAGTCGGAGCAGGTATCGCCATTATAACGATGCTTGTTGCAGGTTTGGTAGAAACGAAAAGAAGAGATGAGGCACATTCAATGCCAACAGTTGGGTTTGAAAAGGGAAAAGGTGCGATTTCATCAATGCCGGGTTACTGGTTAATATTTCAGTTATCAATAGCTGGGCTCTCCGAAGCGTTTGCGGTAATTGGATTGGTTGAGTTTTTCTACAAACAGTTTCCTGAAAACATGAGAAGTTTCGCAGGTTCGTTTTTGTTTTGTGGGTTTGCTATGTCGAGTTACTTGAGCAGTTTCTTGATAACTGTGGTTCATAGGACGACTCGTGAAGGTGGGTCGAGAAATTGGTTAGCTGAAGACCTTAACGAAGCGAAGTTAGATTATTTTTATTATTTATGCATGGGTTTGGAGGTGTTGAACTTTATATATTTTTTGATAGTAGCAAAATGGTATAAATACAAAGGAGCCGGAGATGAAGCCGATGATGTGCCATTAGAAGAAATGCCTGCCGAGAAACATATCGCTTAAACATATGGTTGAAATAACGACTATTGTACCCATAGATGTAAATGTTGGCATCCAGTTGATACGATCCAATTTAGTGTGGGTTCAAAAGGATTTACGATGTAATAGTAGTTTAATGATTGATCATTATTGGAATTCTGGTTTAGTTTGGACTTTAAACTAGCATACTCAAATTTTATAATTGGTGTTTATGGAGAAGAATAATGTGGGGTTCTTTTAGTTTTGTCAATCTTATATGTCTAAACAGGCTGAATAAGCCCAAATGAAAAGAAACTACGTAAACCACTTATTGGATCACAATCATCATATGGGTTCACTTAAACAAAACTACTTTAACCATATTTTATAGAACTACACAAGTAAGGCATGATTGGGATAGAGAAATAAAATTGCATAGAGAACCAATTAAATTTGGAAAAAAGAATTGTTTCCATTGTTTGGAGAAAAAATATTTCTTGATCCAACAATATTTTCTAAATGTCCAGAAATGACGAGGGTAATAAAAGGTGATAAAAGTTTGAACGTCCAAGTGGCTAGTCTAGTACTGAGAAATGTCTTGTTCTCAAATCATAATACACCAAAAATCTTCGAAGAATAAATGAAGTTGCATGTGTAGAGTCCGAACGTCAAATAGTCTGGATCTGGAAATTGAATAAATCCAACCATATAGAAGATCTAAATCAAATAGTAAAGTTAAAATTTTGATCAGATGATCAAAAGTCAATGCCACGTCACTTTGGTAACATATTTCTTTCACAATTAAGATCAACTAGTAAGGCCAAAAAATTTATCGGCACACCAATAATCAGTGCCACGTCACAATAGTAATCAATCTTATTTCTTAAAATATATTCAAAATTCAAATTTTTCCAGATGTTCTTAAATGAATCTCCAAAAGAATAATTTGCTAGAAATGTAAGACATCCAAAAGATTCTTGTAGCAAATTAAAATAAGGACAACCAAATATATATATGGATCTGAACTGAAGTCTTCACCAAGATTTCCCCCAAGAATTTTGTTAACTTATAAGGTGGGAAGTCAGACTTCGATCAACATGAGTATTACCATATAGATACTAGGCTAAGACCAGTTAGAAAAAACCAAATACTAACTAATATCCTTTCCTTTATTCTTCAAAAGTCGAAACTCTAAAAATCACATATGGATTCCCATGATTCTCTCTATTTTTTTTATCGAAAAGGCATTTAGATCACCATTAATGATGAAGACGGGCATGAGTGTGACATCCATTTTCGGGATACGTCTTTCAGGATTTTTGACCTTAATTCGATCATGTAAAGGTTTTGGGCTTTAAGGAAATAAAGTTTAGACCCTATTGGATGTTGATAATATTGATTTTGAGATCTAAGCCATTGATTCATATTTTGGAACCAAAGGATGAAATGGGAAAAGTGAGGTTTCGAACCTCTTACATGAATTAAGGAATTTGGTTCGGTATGATTTAAGTCAGAACCATTTGGATCATGGATATAAAGATTGTCAAAAACAAAATTTAATCGAAGAATTTATGAATGTTTGAAGTTCGAATGAATATCGCTGAAAACCCACCGCCACGAGGTGGCAAGCAGATTGCCACAAGGTGGGAGTTGTCACGAGGTGACAAATTAGATTGCCACAAGGTGGCAACTATATCAGCCTAATCCCATGAATTAAAGGCAATGATTCATTTTTTAAGGTATTTTCTTAGAATCCATCACATTTAGAACTCCACAGGAGAAAACCTATCCTCCATCTTTAAGATTTGAGCTGCTCATCTCTCCTCTCTCCTCTTATGGATGCTTTTCCTTATGTTTTGATGAAGCTTGAAGATCAAGAACGTTCTTTTGGTTGCAAGGATGTCAGAACTAGCAAAATTTGGGTTAAGAGTGTATTCATGTACAAACTATCCCTATATGTAATCTTGTTGCGTTAGATTATTGGAATTTAAAAACGGCAATGCTATATGAATTTACATATGTGCGTAAGCATAATAAACATTTAAAAGACAAAAAATAGAGAAAATGCATCATACAAAAATCGAATATGGATCTTGACTTTAGAATTCTTAGCCCAAATACCCCTTGATCGAATACCCATCCAAATTGATCATATTCAACCCGAAAACCCACACCACAAGGACCGAAAACCCTAAGGAGGGGTGTTTTCAGCCACCCTAAAATCGAAAACCCCACCCTTAAATTAAAGAAATTGGTGTTTGTTTCTAAACCCAAGAGTTGACCAAGAAATTGCCACCTCATTTCTTTACATTGCATTACTATCCATACTTCCACACCAAGCATGCTTTTAACCAAGAAGTATCCATACATGGCACTTTAGTAACCAACAAACCTCCACATATGACATTATATTGCCCACCAAACAACTAGGAAGCATGACACCCTCTCCATTTAAGGGGGGTTCGGCCGAAAGACACCCACACACACAAAAAAAACACTTCCACTCGTTTTACTCTCCAATTTCTCTCATCTATCATCTCCAAAAACGTGTGCATCTTCAACGGGTGTTTTATTTCAAGAAAAATCCTAGTAAATTGGTACGCATTTTGTGTGTCTCTTGTATTTCTAAACATCTTCATATTAAAAACTCCATATTTACACACATTTTTGTATGTTATATCCTTAGAGCATTTGCAATTTCAAGAATCTCTTCAAGCTTGTGTAAGGCTAGGCTCGACATCTCTTCACTTTCTTTCCTACCACACACGAAATAACCGAGGTGAGCTTCATAACTCCAAGTTTTCATGTTTTACATGCTTTTCCGAGGGGGGGGGGGTGGTCAAGTTTCGTTTACCCAAAGGATATTTGCATGTACCAACTTGTTTATGGTATAATTTGTGCACATGATGTTGAAAGTTTCATACATACACACATAAAAAATCATGTTTTATAAGGTCTTCATAAGCCTAGATACGTTTGTCCATTGAACATTTGCATGCACTATGATCATATGATGAATATGGAACAATTTCTTGTATAAAATGGTGGATATAATTTGTTAATCACATAAAAATTGTGACATATGTGATTATCAATACTTTTATTACACAAAAATTGAGCTTAAAAGTCGATACCCAAAGATAACAAGAACACATGTTTATACAAGTCTAAATATGTATGATCTTTGGATAACTACATGGCTTTCTTATATATATATATATATATATATATATATATATATATATATATATATATATATATATATATATATATATATATATATATATATATATATATATATTAAAGGTTGAAATAATATAAAACAAGTTGTAGACATCATATGTCTTTATAAAACTCGTGACTCAACTAAGTCAACCAAATTAAACGATTTTTGTATTACAAATTTTTAACCGCTAAAACATGAATAGTGCAACTACAAATTCTTGGAAATTTTTACTAAAAATAAATTTTTTATAGTAAAAATGGTCGTAATTTTTGTCGCCACTATTTTGATGAGGTTAAACACAAGAATATTATGATGTTTTTCCAAGCTATATTACTACTAGATATATTCACTATTGACTATTTACATAAAGTGTTATAAATAGTTTACACAAAATGGTATATGAAAAAGAATTGATGATAGTATAGTTTGCATGTCATAAGATACATCTCATAAAACGTATGACATGAAACTCATAAAATGCATATCATAAAATAAGTGTCATATATTCGGAAATAGTGAAATTATTTCGTTATACAATAAAAGGGAGTCATAGTTCGCGTAAATCCGTTAATGCTCTAGTGAGACATACACTTCACTATACTTACCTAGATTACATTTTAAGTCATGTATTCTAATCAAAAACTCCTGGAGGGAGAGCGAGATAGTTGTGTATAAATCTATACGGGGTTGACAACCCCACACCTGAGCTGTTCGCTATAGCTATACAGGGCTAGTCTAGGGTGACAAATATCTTACCTATTCTGGCGCCTGAAGAACGTTGTACAAGCATAACAATCACATCAAACATTGTTATAATAACCCACTTAGGGATTAACAAAACTATATTGGTTTATGGGAAGCTTGCACTTCACTGGCTTTTATTAAAATATAAAGCTGTATACTACTCTTCAGTACACGATTGCATACATTTTTGGGTCTTAGGTTTAAGACTATAGTTTTCATAAATCAGAAAATAATGGATTTTCTAGGAACGTACACTTTACAATTAGAAGTAAAAGAAACAAAGGACATGCATGCATATATTCTAAGTTTTTGGTGTAAGACATACTACTCATTTTTATAGAAAATATCAGATTTTCTAGAGATATACAAACCTTCTTACAAAGAAGATACAAATCTTTTCATACAAATATGCTTATGAACTCACCTACATTCAATGTTGACGTTTTTCAAAATCACTTGTATTCTCAAGGAACAAGTAACAGGTAATCAACTCTTTTGAGATCAAGTGATTCAACACTATGGAATTTACCTTTCTATCATTTTTTGTGTAACTTATGAATAAATACATTATGTAAACCACATAATTTTGTAATATATGTTGGATTAGGTGTCTAAGCCCACAACTATAATTGGTATATACTTGACCCAAGAGTAGCATGATCCATTTGGGTTGCATTTCACCAGAACAATCTAATAGGATGGACCTTTGAGAGGTTGTTTATGATTTGCTAATACATTATAAGTATAATATATTGAGAAATCATATAATATAATTTATTTGTATGGATCAAGAATTAATTTGGAATTAATTTAGTGATCACAAGAGGCTAATTAAATTAATGGGGAATAATTGTGTAAATTAGTTATGTATATGGTTTGGGCTTATGATACATGATGGACTAAGCTTATGGATTAATCCATAAAGATTTGGTTCATATGGATCATGGATCATGGATAATAAGCCCAAGGGTAGGGATTAGGGTTTAACCATGACTTTTAGTATTCTACCATATATATATATATATATATATATATATATATATATATATATATATATATATATATATATATATAT